TCTAAGTTAGGATTCAAACATTAGGCAATTGCTAGTTGCTTGCCAAATTTTCAGTCTTACTTAATAAAAGGGACCATAAACACTGTGTATATAGATCTCCAGACTATGTTAGATCTAAAGATGCTGAGGGTCCTTTTGCTCTGGAAAGGTACTAATTTTTGAAGTTTTCAGAGGGAAAGGAGCTCTTTTCTGTTTGTTTTAGATGGAGTACATAAGAAATAGGTAACTATAATCCAGATCAGTTACTTTTGGCCAAAATGGGCTACTTAGCTTAGTTGGCTTCCTGCTTCTGTTTTTCAGTTACAAAGGGAAAAATATATTTATAGTTGAGAAATATGGCAGACACTACTGTAACCGAGTGATCAAGATTAACACTGCCAATAATACAATATATCAGTACCCCTGATACGATGCATGTGAAGGGCACAACAGCACTTCTCTGGTATTTTTGCCTAAAATGCATAGCCTCAGTCCAGTCTTTTTTTTTTTTTAAAGATTTTATTTATTTATTTGAGAGAGAGAGAATGAGAGACAGAAAGCACGAGAGGGAAGAGGGTCAGAGGGAGAAGCAGACCCCCTGCTGAACAGGGAGCCCGATGCAGGACTCGATCCCGGGACTCCAGGATCATGACCTGAGCCGAAGGCAGTCGCTTAACCAACTGAGCCGCCCAGGCGCCCCAGCCTCAGTCCAGTCTTGAGAAAACACCAGACAGGGGTGCCTGGGTGGCTCAGTCGGTTAAGCGTCTGTGTTCAGCTCAGGTCATGATCCCAGGGTCCTGGGATCAAGCCCCACATCAGGCTCCCTGCTCAGAAGGGAGCCTGCTTCTCCCTTTCCCTCTGCCTGCTGCTCCCCCTGCTTGTGCTCTCCCTCTCTCTCTTGCTTGCTCACTCTCTCTGACAAATAATTAAAATCTTAAAAAAAAAAAAAGAAAACACTAGACAGATTAAAATTGAGAGAATATACAAATACAAATAACTCACCAGTACTCATCCGAAGTGTCAAGGTCATGAAGGATAAGGAAAGACTGAGGAGGACCTGTCATAGATTAGAGGATATCAAGTAGCTGTAACAACTAAATGCAATGTGGGATTCTGGATTGGATCCTGAAAGAGAAGCAGGGTCATTAGGGGAACAGCTGGTGGAATTTGAATAAAGTATGTAAATTTGGTTAATATTGTTATACCAATGCTAATTTAATGATTGTACTGTGATTATATAGGTTGTTAACATTAGGAAATAGTGAGTGAAAGGTATATATGAACTCTAAAAAGTTTGCAACTTCAGGGGCACCTGGGTGGCTCAGTTGGTTAAGCATCTGCCTTCACCTCTCAGGTCATGATCCCAGGGTTCTGGGATCGAGCCCTGTATCAGGCTCCCTGCTCAGGAGGGAGTCTGTTTCTCCCTCTCCCTCTGCCCTTCCCTACCGTTCATGCTCTCTCTCTCTCAGATAAATAAATAAAATCTTTAAAAAAATGTTTGCAACTTTTATGTAAATTCGAAGTTATTTCAACATTAAATATAAGAAAAGAAATTTAAATAACATAGGTAAATTTTTAAATGTAATTAGATTTAGAAGATAAAGGTGAGGAAAACTCCCAGAAAGTAGAGAAAAAAGAGAGAAAATATAAGAAAATTAGAGTGTCAGTACTACAGATGCAACATCCCAATAACAGGAAATCCACAGAGAAGGAGAAATGGAAGGGAGAAAGTCATCAAAGATACAATTCAAGAAAATTTCACAGAATTGGAGAACGTCAGTTTCCATATTGAAAAGGCCCATTGAGAACTCAGCACAACAGATGCAAGTGAACCCACACTGAAGCTTAGGTGTGACATTGCAAAATATTTGGAATAAAGGGTGGATCTTAAAAGCTTTCAGAAAAATGGAGAGAACAGGTTACATACCCAATGTTAAGAATCAAACTGGCATCAGACTTCTCAGCAGCACTGTTGAAACACATGGGCACAGTAAAGCAGTAGAAAGAATACAGTAAGAAAATGAAGCAATGCCTTCAAAATTCTGAGGGAAGTATTTCTAGTCATCCCCTTTTGCCTGCAGTGTGCCTGCCCCCTCCCTGAAACCCTCAATCAGGGTAGCAGAAGCAGAACTCCCGAACATAGCTGCTCCATCAACTCTGCCCCTGCCCCCTCCTGTCCCCCTCCCATCCCTGCAGTCCTGCTTATTACCTGCTCCTTTCTGGCTGCTTCCTTTTGGTGATACTTTCTATGTCAGAACAGGAAAGGGAATAAAATAAAGTGAAGTCCAGTACCAAAAACAAACAAAGAAACCATCTTCAGTGTATGAGGGTGAAATAAGTACATTTTCATACATTCAAGGTCTCGAAATTTTTACTTTCTAGCAAATTACTAGAAGAGTATTTTCATCAAAGTAAAGATGTCAAAGGGATGGGGGAGAGAGAGAAACCTGAAAAGCAGGAAATAGTGGCTTTAACACAAAAGTGAGATAAAGGGAATACACAGAGTATTGGTGAAGGAAAATCTCAAAGATGACAACTTTGTGGTTAGCCTAGAGAGCAAAATAGTCCAAATTTGAACAGGTCCAAAGTCTTCAGGGGCCATGTTGTCAAGAAGATGAAATTGACAGAATTTTTTATTTAACTCATTAAGAGAAGATGTAAACAGTTTGTGGAGAATTTTCAAAATAATTGCAGTAACTACATTTAAAAAATTAAAAACAAGACAGTCACTGAGTTTGGGGTTAGGGTAGGAACAGGAGCTGTTCGGGAAAATATAATCATTAGTGCAGCATGTGGTCAGCTGGAAATATTTATGTAGTAATAATGTAGACATTGAATATAGAGCCATACAAAATGATAATTATAGTGGGAGGATGGGAAGGGTGGGTTTGCAGGTATGGATTGGGAAGGGTGGGTGAGTTCCATATGGAAGTCTAAAAGATAACAGACTTTTATACCTAAAAAATCGAAAGCAGCAATATAACATTGTATTTGGAAATATGGAGGTCAGTGCCAAAATAAACAATTAAAAGATTTTAATGTGTTTGTCTCTGGGAAGTAGGGAAACAATGGGATGGGGAAGGCATTGCTATTTTGTTGTAATGAGCCATGTAGAACTATTCGGTTTTTAAAACTACTTGTGTATATAACTTTGCTACTAAAGACAACATAAATATAAAAAAGCAAAGTAAGTAAAAATAAAAGTAAAAACTAACTCCCAAAATGTAAGTTTTTAAAAAATTTTAAGATATTTCATTTACCGTAAGAAAATGGAGTTTTTATGATCCCTGCATGGTAACCTTAAGAGGAGAGAATGAGAGATAAAAAGTAACCAAAGGAGTTATTGTTGGAGGAAGCACTGACTTCGTATACATGACAGTTTGCCAATTGTCCTGGTTATCTAAACCTTCTCAAAAACCTTTTGTTTTCTTTGAGAAAAAAGTTACTCATGAGCTAAAATAGAAATCACACCTAGACCATATTGCTTAAATTCTGTGTTTGACACAGTCCTTTACTCTCCCCCACCCTCATTTCTTCTGGCCTGATGGGGATCAAGTATAGTGATTATTTATATCGGGTTATTGGCTTTTTAGGTTAGTTTCAATTTCAGCCGTTAGGCTCCATTAATTTTTGGTTTGAAATATGGTCACTGTAAGTAAAGGTGTTGCATCTAAGACCAAAAAAATAAAAAAATAAAAACCCAAATAGTAAGCCTGTCTGTGTATCTGTTCAGTTTAGTTGTCATGTGAAACCACCATATTGAGGTCAATGGGATCCTAATGTGGACTTTGTTCTAATAGCTTAATTCGATTCACTTAGTCTCTCTGGATTAATAAAAATTCTTGTTTCTAAACTTGATCTTAGCCAAAAGGCCAGGAAGCAATAAAAGAAATTCTTGTTTCTACTATGTGTTATTTAAAATTTTGGTCTTTATGTTTTTATTTGACAAAATTTACTATCTTGTTCTAATCTATTGTCTATTCTAGTGTGTGTTGATGAATAAAAATATCAGTTATCTTTGGTTGCTAATCTTTTCTAAGTACTAAGTGAGTTAACACCCACAATTGCACCTAATTTAACTGACAAATGGAAAATAAATGTGATGTGAGATGGCATTAGGTTTTTTTCATAGTTTGTAAGAAGCTATTTGGAGGTTTAACTGAAAAAAAATGAAGTTCTTTTTCATGGGACATTTCTGGTGATCATAGAAGAGTTTTATTGGAAGCCATGGGAACATGTTTTTCCATGTTATTCCATTTAAAAAGTAATCCTTTTTTTGCATCCTTTTAGAGGAGAAATGAAGTTGCTAAGATGGTTAAACAAAATTCGCTGTATTTCATTGCCTGTGACACTTTGAAAGGCCTGTGAATCCTTTCTTCCTCATCTCTGTTCCATCCCAGTACCCTGACAGCATCCTATCACAGCATTTATCTCAGGGCTATGTTTGCTTCTCACACCAAACTATAAGGCTCTTGGAGATTGGGGTTGGATTCTGTTCTTTATGGTATCCTCAGTGATTAGCGTTGTGCCTGGGGATGAAATTAAATTAATACATCATTAAAATTTTTACAAAAAGCATTTTTTTCTATGAACTGATCACTGGAGGCGTTTGCCATATTGGAGATCTCCAAAGCTGTTCTTGTATAAATAAAAGCATTAGAGACCCTCCATAATAAATTTCAGAAAAGACACTCTTCCCTTTTTAAAAATTTACCTCCCATGGAGGGTCATTGAGTACAAAAATGTTTATTGAGTATAGGATCAATTTGGAATATATTCAACTATAAATAACCAGAAACCTAACAGTGGCTTAAGCAGTAAGGACTTTATTTGTCTCACATAGTAGAATGTCTGGGGTAGGCAGCCCATGGCTGATCTGCTGGCTCAGCGAGGTTACCATAGACTTCGGCTCCTTCTGTTCTTCCATTAGTCCTTGTAGATCTTGTTCTCGTGCTTGTCAGTAGATGCCTGTTGCAGCTCATGGTATTGTCCCCACATTTCAGGCAAGAAGAAAGGGAAGAGTGGCAAAGGGCTGATGGGACGTATCAGGAGACTCTGGCCCCTTTAAAAGCCTTTCCTAGAAGACATCCCAGTGACTTTTGCTTACATTTCATTTGCCAGAGAAAGCTTCAAGGGAGCCTGGTAAGATAAGTATTTAACTTTTCAGCAGCTGTAGGAAGGTGAAGAGTAAGTAGTTTGTGGATCATTTTCAGAAATGAATTTCAGAAACTAGATCTTCCCTTAAATGTTTGCTTCATTTTAAATAACGCTTCTGGAACACTATTAAACTGTAGGGTGAGAGTCTTTAGAGATTCATAAACATCAGTCTGGTCAGTTGCTACCTTTATCAAAAAGAATGAAACAGAGTAAAATAAGAAATAGAGAATATCAGGATGTGTCTTACTTGGTTAGGGCAAGTATTTTGTGAAATACTGGGTCACAATGTATGCTATTTCTTACCTGTGCATTCCAAACAAAAAACCAGAAAACCGTTGTTCTGGAGAATCGTTGATTTTACAAGTATTTTCTCTTATAATTATAAGCAACTTGGGAGTATATGAGGAACTTATAAAGGAGAGAAAAGCGTGTGCACAAATACTCCTAAGACAGGAAGAAAGGTGTCTGAGTTATGAAGGATACTAATAAAGTGTGCGGAAGGTCAGTGAATTCAATTTATAATAATTCTAACAGGGGTAGGGGATGTGGTGAGTAGAGGTTCTGAAAGGCCTTTGAATGAAGGGAATGGCCTTTGAACTGAGACTTGAGTCTTTTTTGTCTGCCCCTATAATGCACTGGGCATTGTTCATACCTTTGTTAGAACTGATTGTGCATGTCATTTCAGAACCCTGCACTTTTACACAATCAAATTTTTTAGAGTTATGAAAATTTTAAGAGTATCTTTATTTCACTCTGGACCTAGTAATTATGCCTTTTTCAAAAATGACTGCATTTTCTAAATCCCAGAATGTCAAGATGACTTTTGGACAAGTCATCTTTACTTCCAGGTCTCGGGTAATAATTGGCCGTTCTAAGAAAAATGTGACCATACATGTGCTCCTTTATTTTTCCAGTAATAGCTTTGCTATTGTGGAAATAGAAGATTGGTGTTGCTAATAAAATAAAACAAAACTTGTTTAAAAAATCAAAGTGCTCCTAGACTCATAAGAGTCTTAAGTGTTGGAAGATGCTTCAGAGGAAATAGAGATTCAAACACAAAGGAATGAAGCCTTACCCAGGAACCTGGCCTGGGTCATTGGCTTCTCAGTCCATTGCTGTTTTTACTGCCTCCAGTTAGTAATTTTGAGAAGGATAAGGAGGTAAGCCAGGAGAATGCTATTCCAGGACTCTCTATTCTTGCTAGATACAAGATGATTTCACACCTTGAAAATGATTTGGTAATAATATCGTCAGAACTACCAAGGTTAATTGTTTTCATCCCACTGCTCTGTTCCTCTGGTCAGCATTCTCTGGGTTCCACAGTCATTAGAATTCCGAGTTATTGCTGAGGATACAGTGACCCATTTTCAGAATCAAAAAGATCAGCTCATCTGTCTCCTTGCCAGTCAGTGTTAGGTGTTTGCTGCTCTTTGTTTGCTTCTGCCTCCGCTCTTGAATAATTGCTTCAATCAGCAAGCTTAGTCATCTTCTCTGTGTGGTGCAGAAGGTGATAAGAAGTTGTACCAGTCCTGGGGCGCCTGGGTGGCTCAGTCGTTAAGCATCTGCCTTCGGCTCAGGTCATGATCCCAGGGTCCTGGGATCGAGCCTCGCATCGGGCTCCCTGCTCTGCGGGAAGCCTGCTTCTCCCTCTCCCACTCCCCCTGCTTGTGTTCCTTCTCTCGCTGTGTCTCTCTCTGTCAAATAAATAAATAAAATTTTTACAAAAAAAAAAGTTGTACCAGTCCTATCCAGTGAGAGAGTGTAATAAATTTTCTTTCTCATGTGCATATATAGATCTTATCTAGTTCCTTGAGTCATAGGACTCCTGTTCTTTGACTCAGGAACATAGCAGTCATATTCTGGTTTCATAATAGTATAGGGGAAAAGGAACTTGTATAAGAAAAAAATTAAAAATTTTATCTAGAGCCTAGACATGGCAAGATAGACCCTTTACACAATCAATACGTATACACATATACTTTATTGTCTTCATTTCTATGGGGGTAGACATTCTTGTCTTCATTTTACAAGAAGTAAGTAATGGAGCTGTAATTCAATCCCAGATCCTTCTCATTCTACTTTGTACTGCACCATGGTGATCATATAGGATTAGAAAGGGATCTTTGCTTAATAGTAGATTCCTTAAAAGGACTGGATATTCACAGGCTTCGGTGCAGCAATTTCAGTTCTCATCATCAAGTTTGTCAAACCTCTGCCCTATCTTTTTTTAGCCTCCTTATTGTAAGTAAATTTATGCAATTAAAAAAAATGTACCAAACAGAAACACTAAGGTGAAAAGATATATGCACCCCCATGTTCATTGCAGCATCATTTATATAGCCAACATAGAGAAATAACATAAATGTCCATTGATGGATAAACAGATAAAGAAATTGTGACTTATGTACACAATGGAATATTAATCGTAAAAGAGAATGAAATCTTGCCATTTGCAACAACATAGATGGGCCTCAAGAGCATTACGCTAAGTGCAATAAGTTAGACAGGGAAAGACAAATACTGTAATCCTATACGATCTCCCTTATATGTGGAATCTTAAAAAAAAAAAAAAAAAAGGCAAGATCATAGATACAGAGAACAGAATGGTGGTTGCCAGAGGCAAGGGGTGGGAGAAATTGCTGGACTGGGTTTTTTATTGTTGTTTTTGTTGTTTAAATATATTGAATAAAAAATTTAAAAAAATTTCTGCACTAGGGGAAAAAAAGATGTAAGATTAAGTCAGCGTGGGAGCTTCTGGGAAAGATTTTACTCTTTACTCTTTTACTCATTTTTATCACGTGATAAAATTTTAAGCAATGATGTAAAACTGTATATAATCAAGTTCCATTCTCAGTCTTTTTTCTTCCATATGACATCCTCTTCCTAAGATCCAAAGCATCTTAAGTAATATGGTTTCTTTTTGTAATGATACCTCTCAGAGAGATGTCCATCCCCAGAGGGTAACATTTTAAAAGATGTTATCTTTAATATGGGCAAAGGATCTGGGGTGCCTGAGTGACTCAGTCAGTTAAGCGTCCAACTCTTGGTTTCAGCTCAGGTCATGATCTCATGGATTGTGGGATCAAGCCCTGTGGTGGGCTCCACTCTCAGTGGGGAGTCTGCTTGAAGATTCTCTCCCTCTTCCCCTTCCCCAACTTGCTCTTGCCCATGCACACGTGTGTGTGCACTCTCTCTCTCAAATAAATAAATAAATCTTGTTTAAAAAATGGGCAAAGAGATCAGTTATTTAGAAACCTCTTCAATCTGGCATGATGTCTTTAACCCGAAGAGTTGACAGAGTACAATATTACTATATTTATTGCACCCAGAGTCATATGATCTGTGACATATACCATCTCTGCGTTTGCACACCAATTTAATGCTCATGATGTCCATTCACAGACAGTATTTCAGAATGGCACTTTGAGCCTCTTTCTTCCTCTTTGGTTGTCTGTCATCTTCACCCCTACACCAGGTGGAACTGGTTTATTTGCCTGGTGAGTACAGGGTAAAAAAACAATTTTTTTTTTAAGTACCATAGTACATCTTTGGCTTTTTCCAACTGAGTGGATTTTTCATTTTTAAAGTTGTTTTCCATAAGAATAGCAATACTTTATGAATAGTGAAACTGTATCATTTATTTCTATCCAACTGACAGATTTTCATCATTAATGACAACCATTATAAGATACATCAACCATAGACTAATCTTCAGCTGAATCGTAAGGAACTACAGAGATCATCTGGCCCACCCTCTTTATTTTGTACAATCCAGATTATCCCTTTTCCTGTCCTGTATGCTCCTGAGTTCTTTCATTTGCTCATTTATTACTTCATTTGTTCATTCATTCCTTCCTTTTTTCCTTTATCCAGAATACTTACTGAGTATCTATCACATGCTATGCACTAGGTTGGATCCTGAGGATACAGTGATGAATACATTTTTTGACTTCACTGTGCCTATAAATCTATGGGAAGAAACAGACTCACATGTTGCTAACTATGATACAATTTAATAAGTGGAAAAATGGAGCCATAATTATGGGAGCTTTGAGGACCCATTAGTTCATTCTGACTAAGCATTTTCATCCATTTCAGTGGGTGATTAGGAAACTTAGGGGTTTGTTTTGTTTTTATTCATAGATACTTAGAATGTTTAAAGTAGAAAAAAATCAGAAGCTGCAGGTTAATATCAACAGGGAAGGAATATAAGAGTGCAGTCATTTCTCAAGTTCTTTTGTATAGTGACAATTGTATGTATGTAATCAGAGAATGAGGTCAGTCTGTATTGTACAGTGAATTATTTCTTATTCAGCTCAACAAAATACTCTCTAGATGGGTCATTCATTGAGAGGTGAAAGTAGATTTTAAAAACATGGAGCAATATAGCCAGGATTTATTAAGTTCCTGCCGTATAGCCAGAATTGTGGTAAGATTCATCACTGTCACCATTATGGTAGCTAACATTTATTGAGTGCTTTCTCTGTGCACTCACTGTAGGAATCACTTCACATACGTCATCTCATCTAATTCTCACAAAAACCGTACATGGTATGGTGGTTGCTATGATATCCTCATTATACAGATAAGGAAACTGAGGCCTACAGATGTGTAACTTGCCCATGACATGACCACCCAGCTCCTGAGTGGCAGAGTTAGGACTCTCTCTCAGAGCCCATGTGTAGGAGAGCTGACAACACCAACTCTTTGGCCCTCCATTTTGTTTGTGCCTACACAGTGAGCTCCCTTGGGGCTACGTGTTCCAGTCCCCGTGGAGGGTAACGAATGCCCTGACCAGAATGCAGAAAGCCTTGTTTTGATTGTCCCTACAGCGGTGCACAGAATGCCCCACTTTAGATAACTAGTAGGGATGGCTGGCACACCTAAGGGGCCACTTTAGAAAAATACCCTGTGACCTCACCACCATGCCCCTTGCTCCATGAAAGCTGTGCTGTAAGGTGCGGACTGGGCAGGGCATGGGGCAC